AGGTGGAAGCGAGCTTCACCCGGAATCCTCAACCACGGAGGAACTGGCTATCTTACCTCTAACTGCCGGAACACAACAATGCTGTTAACATTGTTGTGTTAATTATTGTGTGTATTAATGATGAAATACTGGCAACACTTGAGTAACGACTTAAACTGACCACTTGCATGTCACCTACCCTTACACATTACAATAATTATGGACGATGATTGATATAATTCGCCTAAGGACCAATGTAGAGTATTATTATAATATGTATATTTTATTAAGATAATAAAAAATGCCTTTGTTGTTTAAGGCAGCATTTTGCTATAAATTTTTGGGGTCTCAATTACAAAGTCCCCAATATATGGCTGGTGGAGAATACCGCATGACTTTATGACCATTAATATAATTGTTAATTGATCAATAATAAAAATAATACTACGAAATGCATCGTTAATTAAATCGAGTAGAACGTTGGTTCTTAGGCAAATTAATTACAATGTAATTGTATCTTAAAATAACATTGGGGGCGTTTGGTGAAAATAGAATTTGTTAGAAATTGTTAGCGAAAACTTTAGCATGCATGTTATCGGCGAGGACACGCTTGCTTACTTCAAAAGTGACGTTTTCCTAGCGCGCTAACAATTCTATTTTCGGCCAAACGCCCCCATTGATTCTATGAAGCCTCCGGCATACTGACGTGAGTGCTACATACAGTTTTCATACAATTTGACTGTCACCTCACGCTGTGACATGTTAATGGCTAGTATAATTATTAATAATTATTAAACACTATTGCTGAAGCCGTGTGTCCACGATTTTCAGTACTTTGGCATTCTACCTGTGTTATCATCAGGTCAGTCAGAAATAAAGCACAGCTCAGTGCGACTGTACCTACTTATTGTTTTAGACATAAAAATATTCAAATCATTTGTTGTGTTCGAATTTCCAACAAAATGGTTTGCAGTGAAAAGAAACCTGGAAAAAGTGCCCGGTATACAACTGAATGTCCATTATAATATGCTATTTCAGGTTAATTATTAACCGTTTGGTTTGGTTCCTTTTAATTTGGACAAAACGTTTGTTCGGGCTGTAAGTGGTAATTTTATTTTTTACATAGCACAAAGACTTCGTATAGAAAACTCATGTCGCACTCACTCTGACTGTATGCCGAAGGCTTAATGCTCAACCTGGGTGCTAAGTAATGCTCGTTTTAACTCACACTTAATTAGGTAACAAATAAGTTTTTCTGAGGTCATTGTTACTAATTCTACTAATATTTAGGGTACATTATTGGATTAATTTTATTTCTTATTGAAATTGTTCCTAACTAAACAATAGACCAGATACTGTTGAAAATAAATTGGTTTTATTTATGTTAATTTATTTAGGGGTTTGCTGTTGTAGGGCTACTTCTCACCTAATCTTTTGGCGAAAGCGCGCCATGTATTTATGCCCTTATAAATAATTAGATATCATGTAAAAGGCAGGCAATTAATGAAACATGTAAATACCTTGTTCAGTAATAATTTAATTAAGTAAATAATGATTTGTATTTTAATTTTAAGATTAGACTTTATTCAGTATTTCAATGAAGCACTTATCTACGATTTACGATTTAGTAAGATTTTACCTTATCCCCACAAAACATGCCATCATGGTGAACCTATCGATAGGTTACTTGGGTGGTTATATTTTCCAATAACAAAACCCCATGGCATCCACCATGTAATTAAGATATAATAGCCGAAGGAAGCATCGGTTTAAGCGACGTCATACGGGTGTAGTGAGTTGAACCGCAACTCCCGACTCAGGGATAGTATACATGAAAGTTATTACAAGAAAAATATAAATAAATATTTATCTGTTACTTTATTAGTAAGAAATTTTATTCAAACGTATCCTAAAACTTACGAGACGGTGCTTGTTACTGTCTCTTACCCGCACCAGCCCCTCATACCCCGCTACACCACCGAGTAGATGCAGCCGCAGTTCCGAGAGATATGGGGGAATGACCTTATAGCTCGCCCGCGTAATAATAATATAATTTCCTGATTTCATGGATTTTTCCGTAAAAATTTAAGGTTTTTTTGGCATCAGTGTTGTGTATGTATACTTACCACCCCTGAGATGGACGTTGTTTTACAATACCATACCCTGTATTATGACTATCGCATCGTATTTACTTGTAAAAGGGGTGATTTGAAACAAAAATGCACAGTCTATAATAATACAGCGACAGTCTGTACTTTTAATTACTCTACTCAAGTTATTGCAATTCATAGTGTTCTGAACAGCTGGTGTGGTCACAGGTCACAGCCTATAATTTCCGAATGCACTGTTTTCAATAGCTTTCAATTGATTTCACGTTTATTTCTCAGTACATTTCTGACAGTTACAAATGCATTATTTTAAATTCGTGCAGCCAAGACACATTTCTTTAGGTATGCGAAAAACATTTGTCTTGTAACAAGGTCGGCTAAGTTTTGAATGAATAACTTGTTACTCAGATCTGAATATCGAGATTTGTTTCATGTATTCTTGCATTAAGAAACTAAAGGGATGTGAAATTAATCGTAAAAATGTACCTAATTAATTTTATTATTTTTTTAGAGGTGTGAACGTGTGATTATATTTTCAATCCTAATTTCTTTAATATTTAGGCTTTCTATAGCTCTCAAGTAACTACTTAATTGTACTGTTTCGGAACATTTTTTGACCTGCTAGAAGAAGAGCAAGAAACTCAACTCCAAAAGTATAATGTTAATTTAAATGAAAGAATGGAAATCTATATGTAAATTGTTCCATCTAAACAACTAAACGACTATTTCTCCCATGACAGTTTAGTCAAAATGATCTGTAGTAAAAAGTATTAACTCGATGCAGTACTGATGCAGCCGTGAAATAGCAAATTGCAGTTGCAAACTGGAGCAAGTATTAGCCTTGACATATTAATTTAATCGAGAATGAATACGTAGTGTGTGAATTGAATAACGACGTGTGACAGTTGACGTTTGACACATTTGTTGTAGATATTCGCTGGGTGCGAAGTACTAGGTGGGGGGGACATAATCTATCGCAGCTCTCATGGTGGTCAAAAGTAGAAATAATGTTAGCTCTGTCATCAGATGTATCTGTCAATGGCAAAGCGATTCTACATAATACATTTTAATATCATTAATTAATCGCATGAAAAGGGTCCTACTGGGAACTTAAATAAAAGAGTGGACTGTATTTCGATAGGGCTGTTTTAATAGCCGTTTACAATTTGGAAATAACTAAACTATACAACGTGGTAGTACAAAAATGAGTCACAGTAGTTGTTGTGCACAGATGTTTGCCTTATGATGAGAGCGTGAATTATTGAACTCTGCCCTTGTTTTGTTCTTAATTCTTCTACATCTCGGACTTGTCCAGCCAATACCAACAACTTTCCTTTAAATACGGTTTGTGGTTGGAATTTGATATTGTAACTCTCACAAACCCGGTCTTCAAAACGATACTCATTTCGATCTGAAAACGATATTTAATTTATTACTAGCGATACAGAAACATTTAAATATATTTACTGTTATATAATGAAACCGTTAAAGTAGCTTTTTCTTTTTGTTTTACTGTAAAACTACAACTATAAATGAAGTAAACAAACCCTGACACAATCAAAATTAAACACACTTTTTGGACTTACCTCATTTGATTTGAATGACCAAAATGATTTCAAAACCTTTTTTCCACCCAAATCGTGGTATCACAACAATTTATTAGTTGAAAATATTTGTTATTTTTTCATTTCGATATTTTTTCACAAATATACGACCTAAATGTCAATGTGACAGAGCCCACAAAGTTGTGGACGCTAGTTGGCGCTGTAATCGTGCACGGAGCCAATACAGAGTGTTACTTTGCGTCCTTGACATATTCACAGAGATAAAAGTAAGGAACAATACAATATTATTATTTTAGATAAACAAGAGACTCCCGTAAAGAAAGCACACTAAGTTTTTAGTAAATTTAGTTTTGCAGTACAAATTGGTATAAACCAATATTTAACAGGCGCACCTAGTGGGCGTCAGCTTTTCACAAGAGTGAAAAAGAATTTTAAAAACAATAGATTCCAATAGATACTTATTTAAAAATATAAAAAAAAAGTATAAAGAGTCTCCGTCGCCATCGCCAACAAGTGATGTGCATGTGTTACGATAATTAGTGGTGTGTTTAACAGATTGTCGATAAAATAAAATAGGTACCTACCTACTCAAGATTAAAAAACAAAATTTTAGGACATTGTTTTTTTACTCAGTGTCAGTAATATAGGGCAAGAATGCGAAGTAGCACCGTGTAGTTGGACAATACAAGGTTATTAGTTCCAATTTTTGCCACTCGACGTTTCAATCGTTTTACTTTACTAGTGAGTGAGGAATTTGCTAAAAGGAGCAGTTAAGTAACGGCAAAGCTGGTATTTAGTATTTGTTATCATATCTTGCAAAGCGACAGGTAGTGTTAATTGTTACATAATATAAAGAAACTGTTACTCGAGTGTAGGATTATAGGAAAATAAATTTAGTAATTTTTAAGTCTTAATTTTATTGTTAGTAATAATTTTACAGAAAATCTGACGAGCGATTAGAGCCAGCACCCAGGTTAGCATTGAAGTAAAGAAGGCGGTGTTATAACTATGAAATTGCCGATTTTTCTTCGTTATTAATTAGGATACAATTTTTTAAATGCAATAAGCTATGTCAATTTTTTTTAAACTTCATTTTAAAAGGACTTGTATTTACTTATTTTTTGCTTTGTTTTACTAGAAATTTATCTTCAAAATAAGCACTTCAGTGGTGTCGGCGTCCGTTATAAAAATATGACTATTTTTTACTGGTACTAAAAATGATATTTTTCAATATTCTATAGTTTGATATTGCATCACAAAATTTCATAAAATTAGGATTTGTAATTCCAAAATCGGCAATTTCATATTTTAACCCCTATAAGATTATCTGTTATAGGACACAATTGACCTCGGATAGGCCGGGGGGCTGCGATATCCCGCAGCGGTTCTCCGGAGGGCCGGAGAGCGGGTAGGAAGGAAGGGCCAGGCGTCGGATCTCTCCACACGCGATCCATTTCCTCATCGAGGAGAATACGATCCTCTGGGTCCTGTGAAAGAAGAAAACATTATGTAAATACCATGTCACTGTAGTTATGAGAAGTTCGGCTGCTGGTAATAAGTATGAAACATGGGGATGGGCGTAACACTTAATCTACTTTTAAAGTCTTATTAAAAAAATCTTGATTAACTAAGGCAACAAAGTATGTAATGAGTTAAATCATTCCAGGGCCAGTGACCGCTTAAATTAATACTAATCTTGATACAGTTTTAATTATATGATTTTTTACACATAAACACGACCAAATAATATTAACAGGTGCATAATGTATCAGACTGATGCTAATATTTTTATGAGGGTTATATTTGTGATTATAGTTTAAGAAAAAAGTAGTGCTATTTCTAAGCAAGAAAATCAACGTATGAACGCACAGGAATGAGGATATCATCCATATACAAAACATTATGCATTAACATAAATGGGATTACTTTATAATAGAAAATAATATTTTGGGAAATTTGTGAGCAACTTTATCTGGTAACCTTCGTTAAAATAAGTTTTACCAGTTATACGCCAAAACCAGGATTAATATTAGTGAGATATGATCAACCGGAATTAGTCCATATCCAGAAGCAAGATCAATATCTATTTTATTTAAAAAAATATCACCAACAATATTACACCACAAAAAAACTTAATAACTGATAAATTATTGGAAAATCCATAATATCATAAGCACTTTTAATATGAATCAAGTTTAACAAGAATAATTTTTAGTCATAAATAGCATCCTAGATGATAAATGTGCGGTCTGATATTAAAGCCTAATTCAAATAGCAAAATGTAGATTTCACACATAGGTAATTTAAAATATACACAAGAGTGAGTTTTTAAACACCAATGTTTATAGTTCTATCACCTATAAACTTTTACAGGATCTAAGTATCATCCAACATTCGAACTAAGCGCTCTGTGCTACATTACAAATGCAAATTGCAATGAATACCGAGTTACGTCTGCTCCAGAAAGTAAAAAAAAAAAAATACATTGTCATCATCAACAGAGGAAGCTTATTGTCTGTCCTGAATTTAGGCATTTGCCAAAAGATCAAAATTATTGCAGTTGAAAAATCAATTGAATTCATACTTCTAGTTACTCACAGTGATATAATATGACGCCTCTACAATTTAATGTATTATGCTCGCGTGTCTAATGTATAATGTCGCTTTTCGTTACTTCTGCTAGTTTGTGCGCGTGTACGGTTATTGTTTCAGGTCCGTTGTTTTTGCTCATGTCATCGGTAGATTTTCTGTTGTTTGAATTGTCTACTCTTGGCGTATAGTCACGTTGGCGATTACGCGAAACTTCCATGTACTCTCATATATCACTTCAGAAATTCTTTGGTGAAGGAACTTGAGCACTACCAACAGCATGCATTTGAACGCTAGACGCATCTTGTTTGAGTCTTTAATACTTCTGAATTTCAAGACCCGGTCTCAAGCTCAGCTCAAATGATCTTAGGATTTGATTATGGTTCAAACACGGTTCCCGGAGTGTCTGTACTGTTCAACGACTGGACGAATTATGAAAAGTGTGCGTTTGTCTTGAATTTATATACTCGGGTCAACCCTATGGGGTTTCTTTCCCCCTCAGCCCATGACGTCATTCTCATCCGAAAAAGGTACTTGAGCAATAACTGAGTCGTAGGACGTGTTAGCGTGAAAGAAGAAAGTTTTTTAAGGAATTGAGGTAGGTTTACAAGAAGTTTAAATGGTAGGCACATCAAACTATATTTTGATTTCGCGAGTATTTATGAAAAGCAAAAGTCTGTTATTTAAATAAATAATAAATAAATAAATATCCTAGGACATTTTACACTGCGCTTCTAGTCCCAAACTAAGCAAAGCTTGTACTATGGGTACTAGACAACGGATATAAACATACTTAAATACTTTTTTTTTTGTAAATACATACTTATTATACATAAAAAACACCCAGTCCAATACAAACAAATATGTTCATGCACACAAATGTTTGTACTGTGCGGGAATCGAACCCGCTACCTCCGGAATAGTTGTCCGTTTCGAACCACTACACCAAACGGCCGACGATTAACGATTATTTGAATAATTTATTTATTAAGATTAAGTGCCATCAATTTTAAGAACACCCATTTTTATTAAAAAATTTATGTATAGCCTGACCAGAAACATAAAAACCCTGGCATAGAGGCGCTTCAATTGCATTTGATAGTGCAACACTGAGTACAGTCGTACATGTGTTAAATTAATAGGCTAAATTTATGTATCAGGATTCAGGATTACGGGCTAATTTGATATTTTAATAAATGAACGAAAAATATTATTAAAGGTAACCTGGTTTAAATAAATTAAATGAAACCATCAATCGAGCTAGTAGGGTTTATTTTATTATTCATCAATAATCAAATTCAGAACTTGAATATTCAACTGCAATGTCTGCTCATGAACGCTTCAAACTCGGTACTTCTTTCCCAATTCCATAAAATTCAAAACTTAGAAAGTAACAAAAAACTTTAAAATGGGTAGTTGAAACCTACAGCTAATTTTCATAGTGGACTGTACTATACGATAAACATGTCAGTCAATTTGACAACCTTTGTCGGAAACATTATTCAATGAAAATATTGTCCGAACCCTTAGTATTTCTCTTCGACAAATACATTAACACACCGTGAACCACTTTTCTTTCACGACTATAAAAATATTTTAGCAATTTAATTCACAAAATCAATTGCACACATTTAAAATAAAGTTTGTTTACACTTTGACAACAATAGACTGAAATGCAAGGTGACATGTCAATGAAGTTTTCAGTTTACCGCAACATGGCGAGGGTTTTTATGTTCTTGGTCAGGCTATACCTAGTAGATTATCTTGTAATTTCACATATTAGTATCGACATTAAATTATATCTGAAAATCCAGACTTCATCTTGATATCTTTCATCTATTAGGCATATATTTTTCATCATCACTCTTTGGAAATATTACTTCAATTGTCTTTAAAAATGTTGAAAATATTTTTTGTAACGTGAAGGCTATTTTGGTGACAATGGCCATACCTTTCCTACAATTTCAATGTTGAGTCCATAAAGGTTTGTTTTGCGAAGTTATACCGTACCTTTATATTATTATAAAGAAGAAAGGTAACAAAAACAACACCTCACTAACAAAAGAATCTTTTAAAAGACACCGGCACGTTGTTTATAGGGTTACATTGTTTTAAAAAGAAGTTACGAAGATTTTTTTATACAATACGGCTGGAAACACACAAGACGGGTTTCGCAACCCTTTCACAATTTCCACAAAAACAACAAATTTCACCACTGACGTGTTATAATAATTATTTTACGTACCCATTTGGGGTGTATAGCAAAGAATATCATCTGCATTTTTCCACTCCCCGCTCATAACTGGCAAGGAGTAAACATAAAGTGGCCCCAAACTTTTCTATACATTTGAAGCCAAAAAAATCGTCCACATACATGACAATGATACATGAGTGATGTTTACTAATTTATAGGAAACAGATGTTTTTGGACCGCATATTGTTTCAAGTCTGCGCCATGAAGATAGGAGATAACGAAGCGTGTCATTTTGGTACAACTAACATTGAATTAATAGTTATTTTAAAGTTTTTATTTTTTTATTTTTCTTCTTTTCAGCCAAATGACGTCCACTGCTGGACAAAGGCCTCCCCCAAGGTTTTCCACAGTGAACGGTCCTGCGCTGCCCGCATCCAGCATTTTTACGCATTTTTTATTTTTACTTTGTAATAATATGTATGTGAGTGATGGAAATAGTGTTGATTTTGAACATAATATCGCTTATTCGAATAGCATATTATATTAAAAGTGTTGTAATACATCCCATTTTTTTTAAATATTTCGCCATAATAGTGGGATTATACATTTACTTTTTTTAATAGCCTTCATCGTAGTTGTGATTTCCTTGGCCGCAAGTGTAAAGCTATAATTTATGTAGTCTGTGAAACAATGTGATTGTATTGTTTGACAGGAATACACAAACGCAGCTGCTTCTGATATTTATAGCCAATGATTGAGATACTCATTTTTTGAATTATGCGTTGCATGGTGATGTACTTATAGAATGTTTCGATTACAAATAAAAATGCATAATGTATTTTATAAGCAGAACAAGGCAGGTTTAACAGATTTGACCGCAATCGCACCTGATGTTATGTGAGATGTTGTGTAAGTGAGACTTATTGATAGATATAGAAAGAAAGAAAGAAAAAAAGAAAGAAAGAAGAAAGAAAATAAATTTATTTCGTCAACAAAGTCAGGCAACAAAAGACATACACAAAAAAAACAATGTTGCCAAAAAAAGTCACTCAGTAAAGCTGTAACTGCCAAAACCCTGATTTTCAGTGTGTACCTTTTATGCAGTGTTAAACAAAAAAGGAAGAAAACAAAAATGATACCAAGATTGTTAGTATACATTCAATTAATCCTTCAAGCTCCGCGAATCTAGATACAATAGATAATCAATTGTTATGACATTAATTAATGCCGTCTGGGACTCAATCGGTTAAACTAGTTGAAACAACGTTGTAGTTCTTACAGTACAGACGAATTAAAAAATACCGGTAATTCAATGCGGTTAATATTTTAGAAATCTGTTAATTTACACATGAGTAGGTACAGATTCAAGCTTCAATTATTCAGGGTCTAAATACAAAAAAGTAAGGCTTTTGTTTGAACTAGGTTTCAGCTTTGTTCTGTGGAAATGAGATACTAAGCTTAATTGCTTTTTTCTCCAAAATGAATTCTTTCACTTTCATTTTATTAACATTTATGACAAAGTTTATGCACCGAAGGATTGAGGGATACTTTTTTAAAATATTCATCGAATATTTATTATTCGTCTTTGTTACATCCCTAGCGCTGACCACGTGACCAATATACTTCCAGAGATTATTTAAATAGCAAATATTGGCTATAGTCAGAATTGTATGAGTAAATACTTGATTGTATAGCTGGTTGAATGAAAAAATATACATTATTTAAATCATCAATGGCTTGTGTGGAACAAACACGGATTTGTAAAGAGTGGATGAAGGTGAGGCGGAATATTTTTAAGATTTTTCGCAAGTTGAATCTTCAATCTTATTGCACCTTAATAGGGTTTGTAATGCAATCTGATTAAAATGGGTGTGTTTTGTTATGATCGGACGTAGTGTTTAAAAATAAAATAAAAGAGTTCCAAAGATATGGAAATATAAACTATTTTGTAAAATTAATAATATTGTTAAATTACGAACATAATATCCTAATATCCGATAATATTAATAATGGTACATCACTAGTCTGGCGATTGTATCAATGGACGCTTCAATAATAATATGAATCATATTGAAACTATAAATTATCTTTACTTGAAAATAAATTCAAAGTGTTTTTTCAAAACACTCTTCATTTGATTGAGTCAAAAGAAAGCCATTTCTTTTTTTGTATTACGGTATTACCAACATTATTAATTAAAATACATAATACATATTATTATTATTATAAATACAAATAGTAAATAATAGTTTTGAAACAATAGCCGTCTTTTTAAATGGCAGGTAACTATTACAATACTAAGTTGTAATGGTAGTAAATGATAACGTCATCTACCATTGTATTAATAACATAAATATCTACACACTAACAAATTGCAATTTCAATTAAATATCATGTTGTAAATATTTAGGTCATGGCGAATTTAAATAGAAACAACATTGGTTTTTATTCAATTTTATTTCAATCTACACCAATATCATAGAATGCAAAATAGTTCTAGCTACCTATTTGTTTCGAATATTGTTTGTTAACTACGCCGAAGCCACCAAACCACGAATGAAGCCTGAAAACCTAATTTTAACAGGCTTCATCAAAACTTTCAATTCGTTTGGTATATTTTTATTTTATTTTATTCTATGTAATGTACACTGATTAGGTTCGCCGATATTTCTGATCCCTTTTTTATTTCTTTATGATCATGTGTAACGATTGAGCAAATCGATTTTAAAATAACAACGTCTACATCACTCGGCCATGTATGTCCATTTGGACATATCGGAATGGTAAATGGTTACAGAAATGGAACTGTGTCAGTGAATGTGTCTTTTTCACTTTGCTTAAAAGAAAGCTCTAATCAAAACAGCGACTGTTGGGTTTTCATGTCGGTCGACTTTAATTGAAGTTAGGGTTGTTATTGATATGTAGTTTCGGTTATGGATACGGTTACGGATAGAGGAATAATATTATACCGGTTTCGGTTACGGATTTTTTTTTATTTCGGATATCTGAAAGTTTTGGTTACGGTTACGGATATCTGTGCTTTATTTTGCAATAGTTGTCCAACACGGCTCATTCATGGCCGCACTTTACATCGGATAAAAAGTAATAAACAAATAGAAATTGATACTAAGTAAATGGCATTATAAAGGAAAATCAGGCCGTTATGCCTTTACATAATGCTATACAAAAAACAATTTAAACTGCCTACATCCGAAAGTATCCGAAACTTTTGAATCGGTTACGGTTACGGTTTCGGATATTTTTTTATTTCGGATATCCGAAAGTTTCGGTTACGGTTACGGATATCCATAACATCCCTGATTGAAATGGCGGTGACATCGGCGACTAATTATTATACTCGGTTGAAGAGCCAATAGGAAAATATAATTGCCTGCAGAATAAGTTCTTCATGATCACTTTCATTGAAATTGAAGAACAATATAAGTCTGTATTGTTTTTTTGTCGTATTGTTTATGTAGCTGATTGTTTATAAGCATGGCATTACGATTGACTATTAAATTAAATGAATAATATAGAAAAATAATAATTTAAATTGCACACTAAGTTTTTTCGTCGGGGGTGTTGGGAACCGATTGGTGGACCAACCTCTTTTTTATATTGTCTATGTTTTTTATACTTTTTTTATTACTTTTGATACCTTTTGTTTTTAGTTTGAAGTTGATTTTTTTGATATAGATGAACTACACTGAAATGTCCCACCGACGACATTGACAGAAGGGCGCCACCATCTTCGTGCAACTATATGGTTTCCACTGTGGCAAAAGTCGGAACTAGCGATCCGCTATTGACGGTGGCCCCTTTGTCAGTGTCAAATAAAGGACAGTTCAGTGTAGTTCATCTATAGCCGTTGTGGGCATATTTTGCAGGAATACATCTTCATTTTAACCTCAGAATACGGAACAAACCAGAAACCGTCAACGGGCGTAAATGTGTATTCATATAAATTACTCCAAAACGCACTAATTTGACTTTAGAGCAATTAGTCAATGGCCGGCGCGCGCATTGTTTACATATCCGTCAGATTGACACTTTATAATTAAATTATGCCGTCTTGTGCCGTTCCAACATGTAGGAATGCTACTGGAATTACGAAGAAAGTGCATGGGAACATGTTTTATCCGTAAGTAGCACATTTCCAATTCATTTTAATTAAATAATAATTTTCAAAAAAAATCACGGTTGTATTTTGTAAGTGTTGCCACAAGTCTACGGAATATTTTACCCTACTTTTTTATATTGAATTACATTTGTCTATAAAAAATTCACGCGTTAATTTTGTTAGCGTTACCACAGAATAATGGAATATTTTCCCCATCCTTTTTGTTTTAATTAGTTTTTAGTGTATTTTCATCCATGACAATATGACAACCTGATTAATTAAATTATAAGTGCCACTTGTGGTCTAAACTGAATAAATATTTTTGATTTTGATTTGATTTTAATATTTGAATTAATTTATAATATTACTCCCTAAATAATGAGGAGATAATAAATTACTATCGTGAATTTCATACTTTCCCATTTATTCAAAAGTAAGGCATTGGTATCAACAGATCAGCAGCAGCAATATTTGTATATTTAATAATAATTTTAAGTAATTAATTATTGCTTACATACTTACTCTGATTTTCTTTCAGGATACACAGCCAGAGTTGCCTCGCAATCAAATTCAAGTATTGGTGATGTTATTGATTTGGATTCTGTTTTTGACTCCAAGAAAAGTTAAACTAAAAGCACTACTGCGCCGTAAACAAATGTTTTGTTGTCGATATGTTTACATAATAAAGAACCTTAAGTTTCTTTTTTGTTTTACTTGGCATTCTAAAATTTATATTCGACTTTTGTAATTGACTTTTAAATAACATATTATACCTACATGTAGTATATTACACTATTTAATAGAAATAAATAATCATCTACACTTAGTTACTTCGGAGTAAAAATTAAATTCATAGGTAGGTAGGTACTATCTATGCCTATGGCCAGTCATGTCGTCTCGTTCTATCGCAAAGAATCACCATTTGATGAGAGCGAGAGCAAAAACGGAAATGGAT